AAGCTTGTTACCGTTAGTTCAGCTCTTAGCAAAAAGATCACTATCACTATCAATATTTCTCTAAAAATTAAAGCTTACCACTGTCCTGAATTTATCTGATAAGAACAAGCTCAGTACTGTCCTCACTCCTACTACTGGCTTAAAGCTTACTATTACTATGGTCAATTCTGATCTCAACTTGAAACTCACTAGTACTATCAATCTAGTTCTTGGTAAAATGATTTCAAATACCTTGAATTTTGCTCAAAATACTAGAAGCTGACTACTGCTATTAATTTTTTCATTTAGGGACAAGTTCAACACTTTTCTCACTCCTGTTCTTCATGAATAGATTACTAATACTATCAATATTGCTCTTGATGACTTCCTTACAACTATTATGAAATCTGCTTGTAACTACCATCATGATCCTACTACCAGAATTATCTACAACTTCTCTCCAATAACCTCTAAATCCTCTTATTTGACTGGCCACACTTCTATCTATTCCTCTTCCTGAATGAGCTCTATAGTCACTAACTTCTCAGCCTTTCCTCCTATTTCTCCATCTTCTATTTTCCAAAGCTTACGTTCCTAAAATGTTACAAAACAGTATCCAGGTTCCTCTCTCACTTGAACAATTGACAGAGATTGCTATATGGCATAGATGCATGGATGTTACTTGATTAGTGAAGAATTTATTTGTTAGATACTTGATTAATCAATTAGTATCATATGTTAAGATAAAAATAAAGAAAATAAAGTCTGTATTCTAATTAGAAAATACTATTACTAGTAGTCAAAGTCTGCTAGTTCTATCATAGAGAATAGTGATCTTTGAATATATAACTTTAGTCTATATCTTGTATAGCTAATTTCTAAGTATTTCTCCAACAGGTAATTCTTGAGAAATCTCGAGTTATAATACCGCTTCCCGTGTGGTTCTGGAAGGAGGACTGTGCCTACACACCGGACAAGTAGGGGGGGCAAGTGTGCCTTTACTTTAGTATAGTACAGTACAAAGGGAAGGAGTATTTTACCAAGAATTGATACAGTACCGGGCGGCAAGTTTAAAGGATAGCTACGATAGGAGATATGCGGAGGGTACAGCTCTAAAGAAGAGATCCCGAGTTCTATTTCATGAACAGACAATAATACGAACGACCGTGATGACAGGGGGAATATATAATCGTGAGCCAGGTATCATACACCGCTTTCAATTTCAAGACGATAGTCTATATCATACCGGTACCACAAGACCCATATCCTCCGAGATTGATAGTCTACCCTCCCTCTCTCCAATCCTCGGAGTATGATGGTGGTGAAAAATTTTCACCATGTCCCGTAGCGTCAAACGCTTGCACCTTCCCCTGGTTTGAGAGTTTGACATTAGGCTATGAAGCTAGCTGCTAAATTAGTAACAGCTATCATAGTGTCCCCGCCGTTGCTTCAAGATGGCTGAAAGCATGCCATGCAGCGGTAAGTTAGACGTTTCCGACGGGTTGGTTTTGTGGGCTAGCCTAATTAAGCGGTTATACCGGCACTTGGCCATTTGTAAAGTATTCGGACGCTTGGCAGCCAGAGAGGTGCTAGTAATGCCAAGGCGTTCGAATACCTTTTTAATGGCCAAGTACGAGTACGCGAACAATTCAATTCAACATATGTACGAGTACTTGTACGATTTTCCCTTTTTTAACCTCGAAGTCTGCCATCCACCCCAGCCCAATAATCTCCAGATCGGTCTGGCAGGTCTGATTCCCGCCGGCCGAGAACAGGATACCGGTACTTGTACAGTACTAGACTATACAATACAATACAATAACTCGTACGATACAAGTACAAGTGGTGGTCAGCGACATTACGCTTGGCGCCCCACCCGTACCCGTACCAGTACCAGTACCAGTACAAGTACCGTACGGGAGTCATTAGGTTCCTAAGCCTACCACTACCACCATTATTACTACCTACTATTATCATCAGAAAGTCCAAATCCTAGACAGGCTCGCGAGTTTGTTGGAGTGCACGGACCTCCTTGTACCCTCCCGACTAGCTATTTATTCCGCGATACCATAACAAGCAATGGTTTTATCTAGCCACGGTACTCGAGTACGTACAGTACCATATTAAAGCATCACGTGATATCGTAATTCGTGCGCAGCGAATGACCAATATCGCGGGATCGGGGACCCTTTTTAAAGGTGAGTGCCGGCCAAATGACTCCTGTGGGGCTTGCTTATAATACAAGTACCTGCCGTACCGGCACGGCTCCAAGCGATTGGATGGAGGCAGTGTGGGGAATGGGCGACGGGATGTATAATAATTGTATTATATCATACGGTAGCCTTATTTATTTATTTATTATTTTTCTACCCCGCTGTTTGCGACTGTTGTGGGTTTCTGGTTGCGCGGTGTAATACGTAAGACCAGGTCATAAAATTGCGAGTGCAGTACTGTATTGTATTACCGGTATATTATATTATAAATTTGTAGTGCTTGTACCGTACTGTACTCGTACAGTGCTGTAGCATGGCCGGGCGAACTACTATTATCGGTTCTGGTCCTATTGCTACCGGACCGTGTAACTTTGCGAGTAAAGTCTCATATCGTACATATCACTCCAACTGGTAACTCTCTGCCATCATGTTATATCTCACATAACACCGCTGCGGTAAACTTCCAGGAGCTGCCGTAACGCATTCCATCACACGCGCAGTCAGCTGGCAGTTCCTTTTTCGCAAACCTCGCTCGGTCACGCGCGCGCCACCGACATCCACGCACTTTTGTATGATACTGCTGTATCGTGTACTATACAGTACTCGTACAGTACCGGCATCCATATCCCGCGCTGGAGACCTTCCGGGTCCCAACTCCCACTATTATGTCCCCACTCCCGTCTGGGAGCGACCCGTACAAAAAGAAAAAGTTTGAATCCAAAAACTTATCTCCGTAGCATAGCCCTGCAAGTCTCCAGACCTGGATAAGGCGAGGACGACCCGCCTGGGCTTATTATATTGCAATAAATTAAATTAAGAGTTAACAACCTATAAGTATGATAGTTCTTCCGACATGGAACGGGCAAGGATCGATCCTCCGCTGTAGGAAGGTGTTAGATCCAGCCTACCGGTTTTAATTAATTAATTAATTAACCCAGATCAAACAAACAATTAATTAGTTTTCGGAATCCTGGACACAGCATATTTCCCGTTGATAACCCAACACAGTACTGTACGAGTACTGTACTGTACTCGTAGACTTCAAGAGTGGTCTTAGCACCGTAGACCATGCGGCAGGACCGAACAGGATACCGTCCGCCCGAAGATCGATCGGGATCATGTATCGTATGACGTGAAGAGACAGAGGGAGAAAGAGAGAAAAGAGAGAAGCAGGGCACGTCCGCCTCCTCCATACTAGTGGGTAGGCGTGATCAAAGTAAGCCTCGATCGAGAGCTAAAGTACCACACCGCGAGGCTGCTATCGTCATGCTTTTCGCCTGGAGTCTGAGTATAGCGTGAGTCTGTAAACTAGAATATTGGTCCGTTTGGTCGAGATCGTGTGTGCGTGCAACGCAAATTATGCGGCTGAATTAGCGCGATTACGTTTTTTTTTTCTTTTTTAGTAGGGCTCTAGGTACAGTATTTTGTAAATTCGTAAGCAAGCTACGGGCATACCTCGTTCAGGCCCAACCGGCTTTCAACCCGTGATGGGAAGGGAAGAAGAAAAAAAGGGTTGTATCATACCTCCGTAGAACTCTCGGCGCCGTGGCTGGGCCAGAAGGCCCCGGAGCCAACCAAAGCATTTCTGCAGACTTGCCCTTCACATACGGTGCAGTACAGTACCGGTACAGTACAATGCTCGGGTACTGTGGAGCCCAGTGCAGAACAAACAGGTAGGAAACGTAGCCTCCCCTTCCAAGGCTACGACGCTCGCAATGTAACGTTACCAATTCCCTACCGGTTTGGCTTGCATCCGGCTCGGGCGAGTGGAATTGAGCCATTGCATCTGCTGGTATGTTGTCCGCGAGAGAAGGCTCAGTATCAGAGGCCCAGCGACACCTGCACTCCGTGGATAACCCACGGTGGCAGGGGAGATGTTTGTGCAGACAGGGCTTCCTCTCATGTTGACCCAAACCAACCGTCGGGCAACTCTACCGTGGGCACTGACAGTTGCAGTGCTCGAAAACTGCCAAGACGCATGGCTCGAAGGAAACTACAGTGAAACCTCCGATAACTCCACCCTCCGATGTTTCCAGGTCTCCGGTATTTCTATCATTTGTCGGGGACAGGTTTTGTTCTATGGGCTTTCCTCCTCTAAGTTCTAGGATTCTATTAGTTCCTCTTTCCAGGTGGTAAATGGCTCCTAAATTCCAGGTTTCATGTGCATAAAATTCTTTTTCATGTCACCTTCCAGGCAAAGCTGTAGACAAATTGCCAGATAACTAGATAGTGAGTTGAATGGATATGTGTGTTTTTGGAATGAAGGGTCATCAGATGGGAGGGGTGTATTATTTTTCTGGAGTGTAAACATATGGAGTTAAACCCTATATGGTTTCATGAACTATCACTCATTTTTCTCTCAGCACTGCCCTCTATTCTGCCAAGCCTTTCCTCTATTTTCCATCCCCCCTCTACTTCCAGGGAGTCCAGTCTCCCCACGTCCTGGAGATAACGGAGGTTTCACTGTACAAGTATTGTGGTCCTTGCGGTTCCAGTATCACATCGGTCACTAAGAACCGGCTTCCCGTGTGCAGGCTGACTGGCACAGCACGAGTAGCGGGGTAACACTGCAGGGCCGGTCAATCCAGTGAAAGGTGTGGTTAGGACGGCAGAGTAATCACGACAGGGAAGCCTGCAGGGAAACGACACGCCGCAACCACCGTTTGATGTACCTACCTTGCTAACTCTGGTGTTCCGGAAGAGTCGCCGCAGGGACTAACTACTTACGTGAGTCAAGGAGTTCAAATTTCTGCCCCGTCTTATAAATACCGGCCTGAAGGTAGCCTCGGTGAAAAGGTTTTGGGAAACGCTCTGGGGGCGGGGAAAAATCCACCCAAGTATAGAATATACCATACATCCGCACAGGAAGAACGGACCCATCTCCCAAATGGATAAACTGGTGGAAGTCTCCCACGCCCGGCCCTCCAGCCTGCCATTCGGCCCGCAAAGCCTGATTGGCGCGCTCGGCATCACCACCGTCCTCTTCGAAGCACTACCGGGCTTTGGGCGGATGCAGCGTGCGATGCGCAGTCTGGGCGTTGACCTGAACACCGCGACTGCAACGATCATGATCTCCACCGTCTTGCTGACCTGCTACAACCTCGGTTACTCCACCATCACTGGACTGATAGACAAGTACTACAGCGCCTCCGTGCGCATAAACTCCGAGGACACGCTCTTCCGGGACTTTTTCATCTGGCTATCCGAGGAGCAAGCCGCAGACTTGGACCTAAGCCGTGTCCTCAATGCCCGGAAAATCGCCAGCGACCCGGCCAACCCCGACAGCACCGGTAGCGGTGGCCAACTAAGCGAAGAGTACTATGGTGGCCGATACCGACCCCGTGGAAAACAAGTCTACCGCGTTCAGTACCTCCCAGCGGCCGGGTCGAGGTACTTCCTTGACTACCGGGGGCGCAAGATTAGGATAGTGATGGAGGAGATCAAGGACAGCATAATGATGCACGGCGTGCCGCAGCGGAAGGTTGTCTGGCTGCGTTCGTATGGACGAGATCCGGCTGTTCTGAAGGAGCTGCTGGAGGAGGTGCTGCGAAAGAGCAATACTCGCGACCAGGGGAAGACCATCGTTTATCATGCAAGTATGAGTCCGCGGGGTATGCCGCCGCGCTGGGAGAGGGCGCTCTCCAGGCCGAATAGATCTATGGAGACGGTGGTGCTGGAGAGGGAGCAGAAGGAATTGATTGTCAGGGATATCGAGGAGTATATACTACCGGCTACCGCCAAGTGGTACGCGAATCGGGGGTTGCCGTATCGGAGGGGATACTTGCTCTATGGGCCGCCCGGTATACATTCTCGCATCGATTCGATTACCGAGATTGATCCCCCGTGCTAATGCGCTGCTCCCAGGAACCGGAAAAACAAGTCTAAGCATGGCCCTGGCGGGCCTCTTCAACCTGGAAGTATATGCCCTTTCCCTCTCCGCCGGGAGTCTCACGGACGACATGTTAGCAACACTCTTCACCCTGCTGCCAAGCAGATGCATTGTCCTCCTCGAAGACGTCGACGCCTCTAACGTGAAACGGACCCCGGATATCTCCACCGACCTATCCTTCTCCCCCCCCCTCTCACCGTCTCCCCACTCCGCCACAAAACCCAACGTCTCCTTCAGCGGCCTCCTGAACGCCATCGATGGTGCCGCCTCCCGTGAAGGGCGCATCCTGATAATGACCACGAACCACCGCGAGCGACTAGACCCCGCACTCATACGCCCCGGCCGCGTGGATCTGCAGATCTCCTTCAAATGCGCTTCGCGGGACGTCATTGAGTCGCTGTTCCTGAATCTCTACGATGTGGATATTGGCGATCGGGAGGCGCTCAGGATGCCGGAGGGGTTTCCCTCCGTGGACAAGATTTCCGAGCTGGCGGGGGAGTTTGGCCGGGTGTTGCCGGAGGGCGTGTTCACGCCGGCGGAGATTCAGGGATTGTTGTTGATGCACAAGAAGGATCCGGTCGCAGCGGTTGGCGCGGCCGGGGAGTGGGCGAGGGAGAAGGGGGCCCAGAAGTGGCTAGAAGAGGCGACGGAGGAGGAAAGGGGGAGAGGGAAGGTGGAGGTTAATGGGGTTACCCCTGGTCGGGGCAAAGGAGTAATAGAGGAGGGGAAATCCGAAGAAATCAGTCCGCCAGGCAGCATCGAGGGGATCCGGTAATCTCGTCATCATACATCACTCGGGTAGGACAAAAGTAGGGCAATTTCTGCCCCGGAGGTGAGAAAGGAACTGGGAGGATAAGAGCCTATTAGAATTTGGATTTTTACTATCGCCCGGCTTTGTAGTTATACCATCCGTCGGGAAAATCGGGGGTCTTGCCACCCACTACATGGCGTTGCGTGTGCCCATCGTAGGAGTGTGTGTGTGTCAACCTTATTTCATTCTGCTACTTATTAACTAGCTAGTTATCTATGCATAGTGTATGCATTGTGGGCTACATGGTAGTACGACCGCGTACAGAACAGTACTCACACAAATAGCTACTTTTCTCCATGATTGTGTGCGGCTTCACAGATCACTTATTCGCTCCCTTATATAGTTCGTACATTGTCTCTTCTCCCCATCATCAACCCCTGATTGAATTGCCTACCCCCGCATAGACCAAATAGCGCCAGACCCAACGGTGGTCATTATATTTTACAAATTATGCGATAAGTTAGAGTTCACTTTCTCTGCTCTTCTCCACCTCTTTCTTTTCCCGACCCCCGTCATGCTCTCCCCCGCCCCTCCCTCCTCCCCCCACTGCAGGCGATCCGGTACAAGTTATCAATCACACAATGGATGGTCACCACTCACCATACTCTCCCACTTTGTATATATGTAGGGCGGGGGGGGGGGAGTCATTTTACCCGCACCAGCCATAATATGGTACCAGAGATCTTAAGCTCCTAGATACAAGCCACCACTACAGGTACTAGAAGCGCCACTCTCCCCATCTCACTCCGGGAGACATCTTACCTTTTGCGGGGGCGACTTTTATAGACTAAACTCCTGAGTAATCGGGGATAATTCGGTGGGTATGGTTATGTAAGTTACACACCCCAAAGTGCTCCTGTTACCATAACGTGCCATCACAGTATATGATATCGCACACTTCCACACCTTTCCTTATTTTTATTTCTATTCCCATTTAAGGCTCCTGTTTTCATTGAACGTTGTCCAATCGTCAGGGTCCACACCGTAGGATTCATCATCATCAGATTATTCTCGCGGTTCAGTGCAGGTGTGATAGATAGCCAAATGGGTAGACCGATCCAGAATTTCATTTTCATTTTCATTTTTATTTTTTATTCTCTTTCTTTGTTTGGGAGGAGGGGTGAAATTCTTGTGATGCTTTCCGGTGGAATGTGCTCATGTCTAAATATTGACAAGACCCGTGTGTCTGTGGTAAGAAGCTTTATGCGTGCAAAGTACTTGGTGGAGAACTGCGAGGTGCTGGGAGCGGTCGAAATACTCTGCTGTGACCTGCAATATGGTAGTCATTTGATGAAGAGTGGAAGGGGTCGAGTTGATAGTGAACAGTAATAAGAGGCACTCTAAATCTAATATCATTCTGGTACTGTATGTTTGATGCTATACTTGGCCACGAGAGTACAGTGCTGTTAGAAAAGTTTGGGGACAACGAAACTGATCACTAACTGTTGAGCAACCATACATTTGATGAAGATCTGTATTCTCCACCACAACTGCAATGCCAATAAATCCAAAAACTGGCAGGCAGAGAGAGGTGAGTCAAGAAGAAAGAGTGAGTGTGATTAAAAAAGCATGGAGAAGGGAAGACTTATTGCCAAATTGCACAGAAAGTAGGATTGTTAAAGTCTGAGGTTGCTCAGGTTTGGAGGAAGTGGAAGCAAGGAGGAAAACTTTATGCCACTTATCAATCTGGATGACCTTGAAAGCTTAGTACATGCAATACCTAATATCTGTATTGTCTTGTTGATAAGAATCCTTCTGTATCTTTGTCAGAAATTACAGCTGAATCATGCTTGAATATAATACCATGGACAGCCAGATAGTATTTGATCATAGATAGAATCCCATCTGATGGGGATTAGGTTAGGTATGATACTAGTAGTTGGTTTAGGTCATGACTAGTGTAAATGTTATGACTGTTGTTTGTGGGTTTTTTTCCCTGTTGTAGGTTTTCCTGTTTTGTGTATCGAGTGTGCTATCTACCTGTACTTTAGCTTAGAGCTCCTAGGTAGCTAGCAGAGCAATCCTCAATTCCTCCATCACATCAAACATCAAACTGAGCTTTTCTCCTGTGTACTGCGCAATTCCACTGCACTGACAACTTATCGTTCGCTTGTGTACGAGCTGTCATTAGAGCGTTGCTATCAGGTTATGAACCCGGCTTTCCAGCAATAAGCCGGAGCAGTAAGGAGAGAGCTATGAAAATTGATTCTAAGTACCACAAGCCTGCACAATAACCTAGTCCAAACTTTTCGATCTGTTCCCGGCAACTCACCTCACGTGTACGAAGTTATTCTACAACATTTCCTGTCTTTTTCACCAAAGCAAAGATGAGCAAACATGGTGGTCCGCCATCCCTTGTTGGAATGAGCTTTCCCAAGCTGGACAGAACAAACCATCACATTTGGAGTATGCGGATGACAGATCTTCTACAGTGAGAAGGTCTCTGGGATCTGACGATGGGAGAGGAAGAAGAGTTGAAGAAGCCAAAGCCCGAGGACACCGATTACCAGAAAAGCTTGGACCGATATCAGGCACAAAGAAGAAGAATCCAAAAAGCCATTGGGACTCTTCGCTTAGGTATGACAGATGTGGTTGCGATTACATACTACAGCTCAGTATGGACCACTCTGTCGATGATATGGGAAAGTGTCAATGAGAGTTATGAGACTGCAATTGGTTATGACGCAAACTATCTACAAAAAGAGCTTTACGAGTGCAATCTGGAGAAATCAGAAACAGTCTTGGAGTACCTGAACAAGATTCATGAGTTACGAGACAAGCTCGCAATCTGGGGACAAACACCATCTCATGGACAACTTATCTTCCACATATTCGAAGGCCTACCAAAGACGCCAGATTGGAAGACCTGGGTTATGGTCACCAAAGGCGCTCTCCCATCACTTACGTCTATGGCAAGCTACAACAAATTAAAGGCATTGTTGACCATCTATGAAGCCGAACTACATCGAGATCGAGCTATTGAACCAGGCCAAGTGCTGTTTACCAAGTCCATGAACAAGAGCCACAATCGAGTACCAAAGTCAACCAATCATCTACGAAAAGGTGTGAGTGGTCCAAAAGGCAAGCCCACAAAAGGAAAGTTTACCGGAAATTGCCACCACTGTAGCAAACAAGGTCATAAGATTCGTGAGTGTCGAGCAAAGTTGCAAGAAGAGGGGTATGGCAGACTGTCACGGCCACCCGGCTATGGAGACGGAATATGTGTGGGTTCTTCGTTGCATATATTGGTAGTGGTTTTCTTGGTTGCATGGTTGGATTTCCTTTGTATGAACGATTGGGATGTGTTGCCGCGCAACGGAAGATAGCGGAACCAGGTAGAGATATCGCAGCTGCGCGCGACGCCAAGACCTTTCCTTTGTATTAGTGATCATGGAGGATTTCCTTAGTATATAAAGGGGTGTGCCCCTTTATATTTTACTTTCTTTACGCAATCTGGTAATCTCCTTTGGACACCCTTTCTTACGTTCCAAGGATCCACCTAAACTCCACGTCGTCCCTGACTTTATCTCACGATAACTTCAGGTCTTGTTCGTGAAGGAATCTTTACCTTCGCTTACATTTATTAACCTCGTAAGGCTTTGTCCTTATGTTTGTTGCCTTTAGGTTCTTCGTTTCCGTCGTTCGTTCGCCTCGGTCGGTCGCTTCAATGTCTAAGCGAGGTTCTTCCCTTTCGGCGGGCAAGGTCGCTGCGGCCTTGTCTTCCCTCTCGGCGTCGGTCGATGAGGCTTCTCTTCTTCGGAAGGAGGTTTCGCGCCTTCGCCACCACGTCTCGGTACTGTCTCGTCGACTCCACTTGTCGGAACGGGAGCGTGCGGCCTTGGTTGCGGCTAGGCGTTCGGCCTCCCCTCCATTCGGCGGGCCAGGAGACATGACGCCGCCTCCCAGCGGGGGGGTGGCTGAGGATGAGGAGGAGGTGGCTACGGTGCGGCTGCCCACGGTGGCGTCCTTCCCTTCGGGGATGCAGGCGCCTGAGCCATTCGTGGCTGAGCCCGGGGTGGTGGCTGGCCCTGCCGGTGAGGCGTCATGGGTGGCTGATGATGCGCCCGTGTTCGCAAATTTGTTTGTCGGTTCTTCCCCC